AGAGCCACTTGGCCCGAAGAGTCAGATTTGATTTATCTACTAGTTTTGTCATAAAAAAGGTATGTAATGTTATAATTATACTATTTTCATTTTCCCATCAGCCTATAATCACTGTTTTCTTGCCCCACGAATAAGATGTCCTTACCCAATCAGTTTCTTAATCAACCCTCTTACCTATTTATAAGGATTCAAACCTATTTAGTCTATTTCCCTCTTCTCTCGTCATATTAGAATAATATGGATGGTATTAATGATTCTCTTCCCAACTTTTTCTGAAGTTGGGTTGTACAAGAGAAAATACAAAATAAATGAATGACATAAAACCAAACAAAGCAAAGTGGTGACTTATGAGCCCCCCTTATCAATATCCTGCCAATACATCAGTGTTCCCGTAACACATGTTTTGATTTTGTATTGCAAGTTGCGACTTCGAAAGTCAGATACAATTAATCAATCTTGCTTTGGAGAGGTTCAACTTTGAGGCACCCCAACTTCTGAGAAAGCTGGGTCATTTTGTCCAATTTAGAGATCCATCCATTGCAATTTCTTTTTCGGGTTTGCTTATATTCTAATGGAAGTTTCGAAACAGAATCACTGTTTCTAGAAACTGAATATGTCCATATGCATTATTATGGCGTCCATTAAGCGTTTAGGGACATACCAGATAACTACCATAAAAACCAAGCTGCAGGATCTCACATGGAAAAGAAAGAGATGGATATAAAGTTGTAAAGATCCCTACGAAGGACGACGGTGCGCCGGGCTTGGTAACGGAAGCCTGTGACCCAAGTGATGGAACGTGTGCTCACCTCGTTGGGTTGGGCTTGTCCTGGTCCTGGCAGTTCTCTGGTCTGCCCGTTTCAAGCCTCGAGTGAACCATGCGACTACGGCTAAAGCCGTGGGTCACGTGGCTCTTGGAGTGGAGGGCACCTCGTGAGGCTGGCTTCACAGAGTAGCGAACACCTCCCTCTCATGGCAATGGAAGGATAACAGGCCGGTGCCACTCAGGTCCACTTATGGCCCAGTGGGTTGAGCACCATTGAACCATCACTTTTGGACTTCTTCTCTTTTCTTTTTCCTTTTTTTTTTTTTCGGTAATGGTATATTTCTTTAAGCCGAAATGGGGAGTGGGGGAAAAAATCAGTAAAAGTTCAATCAATTAAATAGGTTTTGATTTTTGGTATTAATTTAAAAATTTTTATACTTAACAAATTGTCAATTTTAATTTTAAAGTTACTTTGTTGAGGTTTGAATTTTTTAAGAGTTAGTGGGTACCATGGCTCCATTAAATTATTGTTAGAACAACAACCACAGATTGACAGAGAATACAGATAAGAATATGCTGTTTCTGCAATTTGGCATGCATGCTTGAATTGAACCCACCTTTGTGTTATTTAGAAACAGTAAACAACTGTCAAAAGGCAATACACAGCAAAAGAAGAAAGATACTTTGCGTGTGGTATGATCTTTCAAGATAAAGCAAGAGCATTCTTTGTACAAGAAAAGGAAGTTATGAAGACTGTAAAAGGAAGAAAGAAAGACCTTCAAAAACCCCGCATCAGTACTGAGAAAACAACTGAATTGTACCGTTATGATTATCATTATCATTATTTGAACATGAAAAATCAGGGGAATAGAGAATTTTTTCAAATCGTTAATGGAAATCAAACTCAAGTTTAGGGATAAACCATTATATCCAAAAACTCAATTCAATTACCATTATTTTTGTTTGGGTTATTAAAGTTATTAAAATTTTATATATATTTTAATTTAATTGTTAAAAATAATTAATATTTATTATTTAATAAATCAAAATAAATTTATAAATAAATATTTTTTAATATGATAACTAATTATTTGAAAATATTAAAAGTTGATAAAACTACAGATAAAATTAATAGTAAATTGATGACCATAACAAAAAGGGTGGTGCCATAACCTCAGCCCAATTGTCCCATCCCAACTATTACTGGAAGAACCAACAGCTAATTGGAAGGTAAGGCAAAGCTCCAACTAGTAAAGCCGTTCCATTTGATCATGACACCATCTCCAGCTGCAAAAGACACAAAAACCAAAAGCATATCTCAGCTGTGAATTATACAGAGTACTGTAATGTTATCATCACATCTTCTTATAGTATTAATGCCGTTCTAAATAGCATTGACAGAGTAACAGAGTATCTTCTGATTTTGTAAGCAAGTTTTTATGACCCTCCCATTACCGGAACTTTCAGAATTGAAAAACAGAAGAAACAAAATTTCAAAGTAGAATTGTATGCAAGAGACATACCAATAGTAGTCCCATCTGGGTCCGATTTTTGTCACCCGGTTCCGGCCGTGCGGGAAATCCGTTTCAGCTCTTCTTGTGTTCCGGAAAGCACAGCACCCAATTGAATAAATCCCAATGAGCAACAAAAGAATGACAATGTTGAGAACTGAGAGCTTGTGCCAATCCCTCCTTACAGATTCAAGCACGCCGGCTTTGCAGGAATCACACTCATAACAAAGCAGCATAGGAGAATTGTTCCACTTGTAACAATCCGGGTCTTGAGCCATCATCATCACGTTGTAATCACATGAAGTTGGCGGCTTACAACAACCAGACTGCACCAAAAGAAGGTAACATCACGAACCCATGTAGCCTAAATAAAGTTATTGAGATTAAAATCAAGGTTTTGAAATTAGTGCATATTAATTCCGCTAAACTCTCATGATTACCTGTACAGGAGACATGTCCTTCTCCATATAATCAATGGGGGTCCAATTAACAAATTTGGCACATGTCTTGGAGTTCAATATGCAGGTTCTGATGGTGTTCCAGTACTCAGGATCCATAATCCTTTTCCTCAGCCATGGAGAATAATCCTCCAACTTGTATTCCTTGTACATCCGGCCATAAACCACCCTTCCACCGCCTTGGCTGGTGACCACGAAGCCGAAGATGGTCAAAGCCATCATAGTTGCTATGATGAACAGCATGACCAACAAGTAGAAACAAAGCGCCCAACGCACATGGAAACAGGCTCCAATGAACCCCGCCAGGGAAATCACTAGGATCACAAACCCCAACACCAGCAGAGGGGTTTGCAGGAAGCTTTCACAGGTGGTGCTGCTCTTGGCCATCCATAACCCTGCTCCGATCATCGGAATTGATGCCAGGAGGGTGAAAAGGTTCAAAAAACCAATAACACTATTGCTAAACCTATACATGATGGGTGTATTTTGGTTCTCTGTTTTGCACTAGTATTGGTTTAGAGTTTT